GGGTCACCACCTTGAAGGTACCGAATTTTATTCTGTACTTTTTTTTTAAGTTAATTCAACAACAATATTGTCAGGTGAAGTACCTATTAAGAAATAAAAGAAAAATTAATTCTATTAATTCTTTAAAACCACCAGACACCAGTTCGCTTTTTCGCAGTTTTAGTGTAAACATATTAAAAGAAAATTCTTTATATTCAAAACTGAATTAATTAAAAATTTTTTCGCTTTTATGATTTGCATTTTTTTAAAAGATGTATCATATCGTTGTAAATTGTAAAAAAATATCACTTTCAATATGGTGACCTAAATTCTGTATATTCCTGAACGACTTGTTCGTCTCACTGGTATTAACACCAAGCTAGTAAATTTTTAGAGTAGCTTTCTATGCCAACCGTAAAATATTGTAAATACCGCCAGTTTTGTACTTTATCGCTTTATCCCTATTATCAACAAAGCCTTTCTAATTAGTCCAATCCAGTTACTTAATATCAATTATTTACTATTGTAATTAGACTAGTTTCATTAATTAAGAGGAATCAATCAAATTCCAGGTTTGATTTTTAGCACTTAACTTAATTAATAAGTTTGAAATTATTGAAAATTGGACTGCAGTGGTTTAGTTCTTTTTATGCAAGAAAAGAAAATTAATTTGATTAAAACATATTAACTCCACTCCTGCAGATCTTAAACCTTATCGCAATTGACGAAACAGTTTTGTAGAAGAATCATCTTATGGTCTTATAGCAGACCAAAAATTGGGTCAATTATCGAGTATATATTTAAATTAATTACTAATAATATAATCATTTAAAAAAATTTGTTATGATGATCTGATTGGACTAAAATCTTCCAAAAGCACTCTCTTATTCATATTACTCCTACTACTTTTCGAACGTAAGATTCTATCCTTCAAAATCATTTTTCCGTTTACAAGTACATACTACAATAGCTAGTTCTTAAATCCTATGTAGTTCTACGTCCATAGTAACCTTTATAACAACAGGTTGGGGGGAGGGGGGGGTACAATTGCAAGATGATTTTTGATTGCTACTTTTTCTGCAAGATATCAGCAACTGTTTGAATATAAGTACAAATTATTAATTACGTTTAAATCCTTACAGTTTAATATTCGAAACAATAAGTTATGTAAAAAATGCATTCTTTGTACAAAAACGAAAATAGAAAAGCGCGATTTCAAAACGTTTGGCCAATAATAATAAATAAATAACTAACTTTGTACATAATATAAGAAGTGTACATTCGTGTAAATTTATTTACGATTAATATTAATATTCAATATGAAAACAACTACAGACTGATGATGTATCTACATAATTATATAATTATATCCGTATTATTTATTTTACCTTATATCTACACACAATAGTTTACAAACAAAAAAGAGGAAACAGAAAAATCACTTATTGATGCTGAAAATGCAGGCCTTCTGCTAAAGTCAGAATATCACATAAAATTTCAACTATGTCTAATAATAATAATATATATATAA